CTCTCGCATTTCAGGTTGACATATCACCTGGCATGCAAGTTCTTGGGACGGCCTGAAGCCAGTACAAAAAAAACTTAGAATTGCCAACTTGACAAACACAAGGAGAAACAAAGGCTCTGGGGAGAGAGTCGTGCCCAGAAAGTAGTGCCAGGCTCGCATCCCAATTGGAATGCGGGGGACCCGGGCCGCAACCGCAAACCACGCAGCTTAGGCAAACGCGCGAACGGGGAAAGGTTCAATCATCATCATCATCATATATATATATATATATATGGGTGTCTATTTCTGGAAGGGTTTTGTTCTTCTTAAGGTTGCTGAATGGAAGCCACCCGTTTGCAAGATTCACCATAACACCGAGACAAATATGCCTTCGCGCCATCGCAAGCTTTCACAAAGCAACATCTTCAGCCTTCGCGCCATCCCGGTGGGCCACAACAAGATCGGTTTATCACGGTTATCCAAATGCAAAGGGTGGATGGTCGCGGACCATGATGTGGACGGAAAAGCAAAAGGATCCAAAGGCACAAAGGTCGGGGCCAAATTCCACAGTGGGGCTGGACTCAACATGTCCGCAAATCCAGCAGCAACATGATCACGGCGGTCCTTGATTTGTCTCCTATTTGCATTCCGATTGTTGTATCTTTCATGTTGATCTGTCACAGACGCTATCTAAAGCCACTGCTTCCATGCGCACTGTGGATGACTGTAAGCCGGAGAGGTTAATAGCTTATCAGACTACGCAAATCACAGGAACGCGTTCATGAGACTTACCAAACGCTTTCCATGCTTCCTCCACTATGCGGGGGGGCAACATGTGCGAAACATTCAAAGTGGTCAAAACAAGGACGCGCTAAGACCGCCCACAAACCACGAGAACCTGAAGCGATCCTCAGAACCCTGACACCCGGCCTGAGCCTGACTCTCCTGCAATTGCCTCAGCGCGTGTTTGGCAATGAATGGCTCTGGAATTCACCTCGCCGAGCAGAAACGGATTCCAACCCGACCAACGCAATGCGTACCTGTGAGGCCGGCTCAACCAACGATTCCTAACCCAAACAAGGGATGCAGGATGCCTTCTGTGCAATTGCTACGCATGCGGCCTAGCAGCTCATCTTGGAATGGGACAATCTCACAATTTGTCGGTCGAGTAATAAGACTCATGCCATGTCTCAGCCACTACCAAGGCCTTGAAACACTGAGTCCGTCGATGCTGTTGACCGCAAGGCTTGTGATCTGTCAGTTGCGACTGCCAACTCTGGCCCTTCTGAGCGCTCCAGCTGTTTTATGCTTGTGGGAAACCATCCAGCCTCCCAATGCCCGAGCGCCTAGCCAGCCTTTTTTTTTTAGATCTTGCCAGTCGACCACTAAGCATCCTTACCTGGCCTCAAGGCTTCCCTACCGCTTCCGAAGGGTGTCCCCAGACCTTGACTCAAAGGCTTCCCTAAGGCCCGGTGCTTTGGTGTCTCGTTGGTGGCTTCCCCGAACCATCTCTAAGAGTCCCTTCCCCACTGATTTGCAGATTTGGTCGGCGTTCCTTATCACCTCAGCCTTTCAAGGGTTTTCCCAAAAGCCTCCCAAGTAAATTCCTGCCACAGGGCGAGAATTCGGCGAAGCTTGCAAAACAAGGCCGCAGGGCCGCAGGGAAGGCTCTCTCTATCTCTCTCCCAGGCAACCTTCCAACTCTTTTTGTGCACAACCTCCTCTAGATGATGTGACTTGTCAAACATCCGCAGCAGAACTGTTCAGCAAACAACTCAGATCATGCGGCATTGGCCCAAGGTTTGTCTCTCAGGCTAATACTCCATACTTGATCGCCGGCCGTTGCAAGCACCGCAACGTTTTTCTTTCCGCGTCTCGTGCAGTTCAGCTTATGTTACCAAACCCCTGCGAGGGCAAGGGTGCTTTGTCTGGTTCCGCGGTCTGTCAGCATCATCTGGAAGCCAACAGCAAAAGAGCGGCGTCCCTCGGACACCGCAAAAGCAGGTGTCTCCCTGGAGGAATGCCTCTACGGCTCGCAGTGCATCAGGCCTGAGTAAAAGGCAGAACGCCACCCTGAAAACCAAGCCGAAGTCAAAGAAGCATCATCACAGGAGCATTGACGTCCCTCAAGACGTCGCACCTGCCCTCTGCACAAATTCCTCCTACCGTCAACTAGCCACCCTCGCAAGGATGGAGCCATTAGGCTGCGAAACCGGCTGAGTTAGGAAATCCGTCCAAAACGCGGCAGGTGCGAAAAGTGCGTGATGTTTCCACGCACTTGTCGCGCTTCCGTGCTACCGTCAGGCTACGAGCAGCTCGAAAAGGGCCGCCTGTCAAGCAGGCCCATTTCAACGCAAGACCTGGAATCACACATCGCAAAATGTGGTGGGGCATGGTCGGTGTCAGAATTGTAGATGACTGCCCCGTTGCGCACCACAACTCCACAGCTAAACCTGTCTTTGGGCATGCAGTGACTGAAACTTCTTGGAGGTACTCCTGCCAGTGATTGCCCTGCGCTACAATCTGAACCATCGTTCTTTTAAATGATAGTCCTGAGTGACGTACGCCAACCTATGAGCAGGGTCAGTCTTGCGCCTTGGAAGTGCCAAGAGCACTGACGTTCCAAGCGGGTACTCTCCAAAACCAAGGCCACGTCGTCTGACCGGTATCCACAGGCCAGCAATGATTCCCCAAATCCAAAAACACACTTGCTAGCCGAGGATCGTCCGGGCCTTATTGACACATATCAGTAACATTGCTGTTAGTTGCCCCAGACCTGTGGCCAAAGGAAACAAATGCTACCTCTTGTCGGTCGCTGAGTTTAAAGGCCCCCCCCTTCCAAAAGTAACATAGGGAGCAACAACACAGGTTTGAGCAAGTGTCCGCTTCGTTGCGCCGAGTGACGCAACCCTCAACTCAACCACCCAGAATCACCTACGGAACATTAATCTGACAGTTCGCGCTCCCCACTGATGTGCGGGAATTTGGCCCAATGCATCAAAACAAGAAGCTCGCTCCATCTGTCTGATCGTCATCCTAAAGACATGTTGTTACTGCTTGCCAAATGCCGTAATGTGTTTACCAAACGACTCTGAGTCAGTCACCGCCGGGGAAAGCTCCGTTTGGCTTCAGGTTCGAAGGGTTGCAGTAGCTTAGGCAAACAGCCAGGGATCCATGTCCATCTCTCCCGGTGCTGCATTGTTCAGCGACACACCCCGCAGTGCCAAAACATGGCGCTGCCGAAATCTTGGTACAGGATATAACAAAACATAACAAAACGCCAAACAAACGCCAAATCTCCCTGGTAGGTAGGGTAAAAACCAAAGAAAAACACCAAATGATGACCAATGTCTTCGTAGCTTCCAAGCACAAGACCCAACCGCAGCTGTGGCTCTCGCAAATGCCGCCCAAAAGCGGCAGCTACCACTGGAGGCAGCATGTGTATATTTATTTGTCCGGTGCCTGAAGTCCACCTCGGAAACCAATCCTGCAGCAAAACAGCAATCTAGAAGCACAGGATCATCTGCCCAATGCCATGCTCAGTTGCCAAAAGGACCCAGAAATAAAGGTTCACCTCTTGGGGCCATGACTACAAATGCACCAAAATTTGGGAAGTCGATTCGCTTTGGACAACTGATGAATGGCAGGGCAAGCTGAGTGCTGCGAGATCATCCACCCAACTAGAAGCGACAGAGAACAATACATATTCAGACCCACATTCGTGGGAACAGACCCACATTGAACAGACCCACATTTGCCCACATTCTGGATCTTACATTTGAACAGACCCACATTCTTTCCCGTTCCAGTCGTCTTTCAACACAAACAAAATGCTCTGGTGCTTTTGCAATGGCAGATCTGATCGCTTTGGGCATCTCTACATCTCGTATCCCATGCAGGCAGCATGCTTGGGTCACTCCCCGTTCGTTGAATACATAACTCGTCTTGCTGGTGAAGATCATCTCTCAATGAAACAATCAAACGTTGGACGTCCGGGGTTGCGCAGGGCTTCGATACCAGGTGCCTTTTTGATGTGATGGGTGCACTGGAAGCCAAAACCAAAAATGGGAAGCCAACCACAAAAGGATACCCTAAATAGGGCAACCAACAAACGAAACCAACGGTGGCGTTGAAGAGGGAAAAAAAAAACACAACAGTTGCGATCAAAATGCTATGCTCAACACTTTCCAGGGATTCAACTGCAGCTTACGCTGAGAACCAAATCCCATACCAAAAGCAAAAAAAAAGGAGTCCCGTACAAACATGGGTGACTGCTTCTGAATAACAACCCGCTCAAGAACACCCCCCAAAAGGCTTGGGCCAAGTAGGGGGGTCAAATACCCTAATATCAAACCAAGTAAGGCTATCAGGGATCCTTACATTATACACCTGAACATTGCCTTGTAAATGGTGGTTTCCCTTTATTTTGGTGGAAAAAGCAACATGTTTCAAATTGGCAAAATGTATCTCTTAAGGAGCCCTGGCTATGATCCTTCCAAAGCGGGAGGAGGGGTGTCTCGGACGCTCTCGAAACACCTCTACGAGGTTGGGCACCGCAGGCACCGCAGGCAGCCGAACCCATCAAGCTGCGAATTGCACGGACAGCCGCCATATTCCATGGTCAGCTCTACCGCGGCATTCCTGAATCTGACAAATGCACCACGACGTGTGGCAAGAGAACTCAATAGCATGCTGCCGGCAGGGGGCATATAGGTCCAGTACAGCTCACACCACAAGTGAACCAGTACTCCAACTCAAAGTGCTCAATACATGCTTATCACTGAGCGTCCATGTGAAACAAAAGGACTGACCTGAGTGCTCATGTTTCACTTGCAATACTTGCACAAGTAAGCTGGAAACAAGCTGTTCATCGTTTCTCCCATAAGAGTTGGAATGGAAAACATGGAAGGTTGGGGGCCTGCGGGGCATGCCGAAACAAACGCGTGGAACAACGCGCGGCACACATCGTGTGCCTTCGGCCCGGGGAATGCATCAAAGTCAGGGACCCTGTGGAAGGAGTCAAAAGAAAAGCACCGCCAGCCAGTGGGCAGGGTCCCTTCTTTTGACGCACCCCCGTGAAAATCTCACGCTTGGGAGCTCAGCATACTGGCCTCTTGTAGCGAGGCCTGGCGCGCGAGGAAACTCAGACTGACCCTTGTGTCATGGCCATCTTAAGCCATACAGTGAATCTGAGATACGATGTTGCTGGGTGTATGTGTTGGTATGGCAACTGGTTGCCAACCCGATGGTTTAAAACAAAAAAAAACATCCGACTGGGCAAAAGTCGCCGCTTCAGGTCTTTCGCGAACTCGAAACCTTCGAGCCTCCCGGGCGGCAGCGAGACGGCGGTGGTGGAGGTGGAGTTGCTACTGCGCCTCCGCGGTAAGAGCCAGGCGAGGCCAACCTGAGGCGAGTGCCGACCGCATTCGGACGAGGGGGGATGTAAGAGTATATGTTTTCTTGGTTGACGTTGGAAGGGGAGAAAAAAAAAAAGCAGTTAAGGGGGGATTTCCCACTAAACCACAATAAGCAAAAATGCAAAATGTGTCCCAACAACAACCAAGTTTTGGGGTAACCCAAAGGCATGGTTCTTTTGCGGTGAACTTGGGGAAACCGGAAAAGGCTAGTACAGACAAGGAGCCATGTACATTTCCATCAAGCACTGCGTTGCTACCGAGACTGCACGAAAACTTGAGTGTCATTGGCCATTCATTGGCCTTCTGGCAGTTTTGAGGATGGCAACATTTCAAAACTGCGGGTTGGTTTCTATCCCTTGAAAAGCCATCTGAAGCGCGCCATATTGGCAAGCTCAGCAAAGTTGATGTGTAGTTGGCTGAGCCACGTATCTCAATTCGTGGAACTCCCATTTGGAATAGTTGTTGGGGACTTTCTGTGAGATAGCGCATCGTTGAAAAGGGCGACTTCAACGCACTAATGCGGTCAATCCCGGCTTCG